CCTCCCACCCCCCACCCCCCATTCCCCTTGTACACCAGGAGCCAGTGAGCAATGTGCTCAGCAGGAACGGGGAGCACACATGCCTTCTCTGCAGACAAAACAGCACGTCTTCTTTGCCAGGAGAGAGCCTTGACTGAAGAAGCTCATAGGCAGTTTCATGGGAGGAGAGGTGGCACTTTCTTGTTGGAACTTGGCCACACAGCACTCCAAACCATGTTCTGCTGGGGCGATGCAGGCAACTCCTACCCACACCAGCAGCTGGCGCTGGCTGCGCTCATCCATGGGCAGAGATCAGGGCACTGGGTGAATTATTTATGCACGGCCACAAACTTGTGCTGTGAATTTAGAAGCAGTGGACAAGACACCCGCCCCCAAAAAAAGGTAGCTGGATGCCTGTTAGCTGATGCATCTGGTTTCTGTACCTGCCATGAATATATTCAGAAAAGTCCAAGCTGCGGAAGGTATCATCCCCAACACTTACTGCCTGGGGCATGAAAGGTGGGTAACTTGAATTGCAGTCAGTCTTGGTAGGACAACCAAGTGGAGGAAGCAAGGGACATAGTTTTCCATGTCTGGTTGCCCAGTATAACAGAGCTTAGGAGTAAGGCCCAACACAGGCAATGCCACAGAACAGCCAGGTTAAAGTAAGCAAGTATTTAAGCACGTAACAATTATCCAAAGTGTTAAAGAACTCATTGGTCTCAATAAAAGCAGAGAACAGCCTTTACTAACATGGAGCCTTTCCTAATCTCAGAAGTTTCCTGAAGGCCTTATCAGATACTTATTACACAGTGTTTGCACCTCCTTTTTCTCTCTTCAGTCTGGTTAGGACCTCAGTGTGAGCCTCTCTTCAGTGGGCATTGCAGGAGGCTGTTCACAGCTTTGAGAACTGAACTAGGTGTCGGCCAATCTCTGAGATGCTGGCACAGCCTGAAATAAATAGAGAAATGTTGATGAGAGAGGAAGGTCTGTGGATGAAACTCGGGAGGCCCCCTCTCTGAATCATAGTCTAGTCTTGTATAAACCATGTGGATTAGGCTGGTGCTTCAACAGCTCACTCACAGGAGCCCTACTCCTCAGTGGCATCTTCAGCCTTGAGGTTAGGCACTGGGCTTTCTGCACAAAAAGAGTTAGAATATGAAAGAAAAAAAAAAAAAGGGGGTATTTATAACAAGCTGAGCAGGGAGCTTCTGATCCAGCCAGAAGCGAAAGGTAGATAGAAAAGACGCAGGGATTGCCATGTGTCAAGTGACTGGAGGTGGAGACTTGCAGTGCTGCTTCATTTGGTCAAATCTGCATGGAATTCTACAGCCCTGCCAAAAAGGTTCCAATGTGCTACTCTTGCCAAGTTCTTCCCTTCTGTATATAAAGAAGTATGATAGCCTCCTGGGAAAACACTCTGTAGGAATCTTTACTAGTTGAAAAAGTAACCCAAACCCCCAGCCTGTTAAGATATGCCCAATAGGATTTCAGTTCCAGTCTCCCAGTCAGCGTTACTATCCATTTCAGTTCATGGTCACTAGAGCATGAAAACCTTTAAAAAGTTATTTGAAGTGGGATAAGCCCTTTTGCTGATGTCCAAATACTTCCGCACTGAACCTGCATGTCATTCTTTTTCGTGTGTGAAACTGGAATTTGCACTGGGCTGTGCAAATTTGCTGTTCAGTGAGGGAGGTCAAACATGGCAACTACAGGTAGGAACAGACATGAGAAATGCAGAATGAGGAGCAGCAGTAAAAGCTTGGAGGAGACAAGGAGGTTTTTTAAGCATGTGGAAGGCAGAGATTTTAACCTGGACCAAAAGACTGTGTTCTCTAATACACAGAGAAAAAAATCTGCATCCATTTTTTCTGACCTTTCATGCAGGAAAAAAAAAAAAAAAAAAAAAAAAAAAAAAAAAAAAAAAAAAAAAAAAAAAAAAAAAGGGTTGTATTTTATCCTGGTAAATGTTAAATTGAATGCTGGAAAACATATGCAGTTCCCAGAACAGAAATTCCAAGTTTTGCTCAGCTTTACTTAGTAGTTTGCAGATCAGAAAGCTGCTTTAACCTACTTCCTACCTGCAAGCTTCGATTCTCTGTCACCTGAAATGCCAAGTGGTTTCACTGGAAGCAAAGAATCACCTTAACTATAGCAAGTAGAACCAACAAAGCTCACATGGATTCCCTCTTTGTGACCCATCCATCAGGCTTCTGATTTCAGATGGCTTGCAAAGCCTCTGCATCACCAACTACAAACAACCAACAAAACGCTTACCAGCTAAGGCCATCGATAAGCGAAACTCATCCTGCAAAATCCTCAAAACTTCTTGAAGACCTTCTTCACCCTGCTCGAACAAAGAAAGCAGTCAGGGTAAAAGGAGTACTGGCACAGAACAATGCTGCAGGATGCTTGCACTGTGAGAGCTGTGAGAGTCCCATAAGTCCCTGCCAATTCCAGTCTCTCATACAGATGGATGATTAAAATTATGTGATGGATGTGTTCAGTTCATCACAGATTAATTTAGATGCTTTTTCTTTTGTGATATATCTGAACAGGGAAAGAAAACAAAGCTGTTTATCACTTCTGACATTTTCTAGCTGGTTTTTGTTCTTAGCTTTCAGTTAACCTCCATCAATGGGCTTGTTGTAAAATGTGGAGCCTTACAAAGCTGACAGTATTTTATGAAGTAATGAGAGTTTTATATATGGTACAGCTTTAAAAACTTTAGTTTACTCAGATACCAAACTGAATCAGACAATGCCAGTGCTTGTTCATGCCCTTCCTCTCTTGTATGCTAGGGCAATGTCACTGAGATACAACTTTAGGGATAGTCTATAGAATATAATAAAAAGGCATAGCTGAACTCAAAAAATCTTATCTCCTTTCTGTTTGCATTGTGGAAAAAAACACCGTTTTCATGTTAGGCCTCTTTTCTCTGTTCATTGGCAACAGAAACAGTGCTGCCAACTCTTCCAGGTTTCTCACAAGATTCAGGTGATTTCTTGCTTAGAGCCTAGCTGCTGGAATCCACAGCAGTCACACCACTGGACAGGAGTGTCGCTTAGAAGACAGGAAGTGATTCCAGACCTTTTTTTTTCTTCTAGACAAAGCTTGAAAGTCCAATCCAGAGGCTAAAAAGCAAAAATTTAGCAAAGCTAACAACTGGTATAATTACATTTTAATGTTAATTATATTATGTTAACTTTCTGCATCAGAGGCCTAATTCATGACTCTGGATCATATGTTAGTAGTTCAGGAGCAGCAAAGCTGGAACTGAAACAGTAGTGGCACGCTCAAGCAGTTGTGCTCAGCCTTGTCCAAACTTTTCCATACATCAGCGAGATCAAGCTCTACATGTATTTCTGAAGAATTCATAACACCACTATGAAACTGCTGTATCAAAACCATATATTGTTTCCAAGTAAGCTGACAGCAATTAAAATTGTCTGACAGCAATTAAAATTGTCAGACTCAACTTTATTGCCAAGAAGCCTGCCTCAAACTTTCAAAAGCACAGGTGGGCCTGAGTCCTACCAAATTACACCACCAAGAAATCAGGTTCCACAAACCAATAGTACCAGCTTTGAAATCATATCCAAAATCATAAAATTCAGTGGTATTTTTAAATCACATAAAATGTCTGGGTTTGATTCAGTTTGGGGTGTTTCCACTCAAAATTCATCAAAACAACAACAAAAAAATGGGTAAGATACTTCACTGGTGAAGACTGTCTCTATGCCTTTTAAATAACAACAACAAATTGTTGGGGATTATAAGAATTAGACATACAAACTCAAAGCTCCTTACTCACCTTGTAAGCCAGGCCCCATAAAGCCGGTCTTCCAATAAAGACACATTTTGCTCCGAGTGCCAGTGCCTTTAGCACGTCACTTCCTTTCCGTATTCCGCCATCTAAATAAACTTCGACTCTCCCTTGTACTGCCTCCACAACCTCAACCAGAGCATCAATCTGCAAAGAAGCAGCCACTCTCACCTTGAAGTCAACTTTTTATTCCAAGAGAAAGAGGGGATATTCCAAAGAGACAGGCAGGCATTAAATACTTTAGTAGCATACCTTCTCAAAATGAAATGTGACGATGCGTCACAAATAGCTCCGCACCAAAAGCTGCAGAATAAAATGTAGCTCCCTGTTCTGTTTGCTAGATAGATAATTCCATTTTCCAGTGCTCTTCTTCTACTGACACTCTTTGCTATCACTTCTGGTAAGTGAAAAAGTAACATTTTCACTTGTTTTCTAAGTTTTTTTTAGATAAATTTAAAAGGAAATAATTGCTGCTAATATCTTACTTTCATTTGAGACAATGATGAATGTTTGTAAAAAAGGCTGATGTACAACTTCTCCCTGCCGCTGTCCAAATTTCCTAAATTTACATTTCAACCTAATCCTGGTGACCACCTGTCAGAAGTCTCCTCGAGACCCCTAAAGCATCTACGAAGTATTTCATTTGCTATATAGCACAGTCAAGGTATAATTTCCTCCAGGCTAAGTCTCCTGATGCCCTAAGGTCTTTTCTGTAGAGCACAGGGCGGTTCCAGGCTGGTAAATGCTGACTCTGGCCCCAAAGGCAGTATAACCAGTGGCAGGGCATTGCACTAGCCTTAATTAAGTCTCCTTCACAGCAAAGTCAAAGTTCTCTTTTCTGCAGTGTCTTGTACTCTTTTTTGCCTCCTTTTCATCCTTTTTAAGTAGAGCAGCTATAACTAAGATTGCTAAGTCGATTTTTCCAAATGGTCATAATATTTTTTTCAGAATTTCAGACCAAAAACTTTCAGGCTGAAATTTTCCAGGGGTAGCTCAGAAAGAGCAGGAACAATAGCTTTTGCTGCCAGGCTTGGAACCAGAGGACTAGCAGAGCTGAACTAAGTATCTTCTAGTTTGTCTGTGTATGTAAAGAAACTTTTAAGGCAGAAGAGCAGTTTAGTGGATGGCATTTCCGTTAATAAGTCCTTAGCATTTAGATTAACTTTTTTATTCACTATTTTAAGCCTTGACATAGAAGAAAATTGCTTGGTACCTATTTTCATTGTACAGAGGAAAACAGAGAAAAGCAAGTCCATAAGATATTATGCAATACAGAACTGTAAAATAAGAACAATTGGAAAAACTGACAGAAGCCAGATTAAACCAGTGAAATACATCCAAACAACTCACGAATTTTTTTTACGGATTAAAAATTGGGGGAATTTTTCTCTGGATAAGTTATCCTTTTTCTGGCTCATGAAAGTTGATAAATTCTCATTTAGAGTTGAATCTGTAAATATGCAAGCAGACGTCTCACTAAATCTAGCTGCATTGTTTGTGCACGTTTTGGCAGATGTGAGCAATGACAATACATTATGCTCTCATTTATATATTTTTGGTTCCAGAGCTTCATTTTATTTTTGCTGTAGTGTGCAGAGTCCATGTGCACTGCACCAGCTAATGAAGACACAGACAGAAACTTTTACTAACTTAGTCCAGTAGTTTATCTGTAGTTACGTGGGTTCAGTGACACTCACAGAACCCTCCCAAGAAGCTGAGAAAATCCTTCAGGGGATAGTCCATGTCAAGACATTCATCGTACCAGTTTAAAGCTAAAGTACATCTGCACACATCCACAGCCACACAACAAACACACACCCACCAGAAGCATATATACAAACATGAGCATAGGGATACCCAGGTTACCACAAATGGGCATACAATAAACACCCACGGGGCATCCGTTTTCTCACTTACAGTGGCAGGTCCTCCATCCAGTTGCCTTCCACCATGATTGGACACAATAATTCCCTGAACTCCATGTCTCACTGCCAGCTCTGCATCTTCTTTCGTCA